TCTATAAAAAGTATTTTTTTAATGTTTTTACTTAATATTCGCACCTGTTGAAATAAAACAAACTTTTAGGTTATTGTTCTAGTCCAGTGGTCGCCAACCTGTCGATCACGAGCTACCGGTAGCTCGCGGAGGCGATTTTGGTAGCTCTCGTAACGATTTTAATTTAAAAAATACAAACTGCAAAAATCAGAGAAGCTTCCAAAAATTCCACAAAAAAATCTAATTGTCATAATATTAAACATAAACAGCGGCAACGTTGCGGTGAGCGATCTGCCGCTGACGCCTTCAAGCTAGAATCGGCTAGAACCGACCAGCCGGACAAACGCGTTAGTGTTCGAGAACGATCAGGATTGCTTTGAACGGGATAAAAACGCACAACGCAACGACATTTCGCTTAGTTTAAAACTGAACGCGTAACCAACGTCCAGCGGTTGGGTTAGTAGAGAACAACAAAAAATAATATTATGGCAAGCAGTTGTAAGAAGGTAAAGACATACCACTTTCATTCGGAATGGGAAGAACAATACTTTTTTACAGAAGTTAAAGATAAATATGTGTGTTTGTTATGTAATACTTCGGTCTCCGTTGCTAAAAAAGGAAATATTGAGAGACATTATAAAACTGTACATTCTAATTTTGAAAAATCATTCCCACTACATTCTGCCGCCAGAAAGTAGAAACTGAAACAGTTAAAAAAAGCAGTTAATTGGACAATAATCAATAATTTTAAGAACAGTCGACAAAAATAAGGCTGCAACTGAAGCATCGTACCGTGTGTCCCAGATAATTGCACAAAAAAAGAAACCTTATGAAGACGGGGAAATGATAAAACAGGCGTTTTTAGAAGCTGCTGATTCGTTATTTGCCAACTTTAGAAATAAAGACGAGATAATTTCAGATATAAAATCTATGCAACTTTTTTTACAGTTAAGAACTGACTTAGATAACTGTGTGTTTATTTTTCACTTCAACTGGATGAATCAATAGATGTCGTTGACACTGCCCAGATGGCTGTGTTCGTCAGGATGGTTTTTAGTGATTTTACTATTAAATTTGAAGTTTATTCCACTGAAATGACACACTACTGGACAGGAGTTGTTTTCTCATTTAAAAAATATTATTTCTTCTGAGAAAATTCCAATATCGAAAATGGTAGGCTTGACAACCGATGGCGCTCCAGCTATGGTGGGTTGTGATGAGGGTCTGGTGGCATTATGTCGTAAAGATGAAACTTTTCCGCATTTTCTCTGTTACCACTGCATTATCCATCAGCAAGCATTATGTAGAAATTTTCTGAAACTACACAACGTTATGAAACTGGTGGTAAAAATTGTGAACAAGATTAGAGCTCAAGCGTTACAAAGAAGATTATTCAAAACCTTGGCCGATGAAGTTGACTGTCAATACGGGGACCTACTCCTTCACTCTGAAGTCCAATGGTTGGGTAAAGGACGGGTGCTGAAACGTTTTAATGATGTCCTATCTGGCATAGTTCAATTTTTCAAACAACGCGATGAACCGACTCCGGAACTAGAAAATTCAATCTGGCTTAAAGATGTTGGTTTTCTCGTGGACGTGAATTTGCAGCTTCAGGGGAGAGACAAAGAACTAGCGGAAATGGTTTCTGATATAAAAGTATTTATCAAAAAGCTGGAGTTTTGGAAACAAAACCTAATTAACAGCGATGCCAAGCATTTTCCTATTCTTTCAGAAACAATATCTCAAAATTCATTAGAACCCTATGACAGCAAATATCATGTAGAAATAGTTTCTACCCTGAAGAATAACTTCAAAAATCGTTTTAAGGATTTCAATGAAATGGCTTTAGTAGCGCAGTTTGTTGTTTCACCCTTTATGGAAATTGATATCCAACAGTTTGCAACTTGTGTTATGCAGAACTTTGGCGAAGACATCGCTGCAACAGAAATGGAAGTAATTGAGTTTTAAAATGATTTAGCCTTAAAATCGTTAGTCTCAAGTACCAAATGTATCTATCCCATTATAAGTAAAGACAAACATTCAGTTCTATGCCGTGTTGCCTTGAAAGTAAAAGCATTATTCAGTTCAACCTATTTGTGTGAATCTTCTTTTTTTAATATGAAGTTTATTAAGAACAAATATCGCAATCGACTTATAGATGAATATTTGGATAATTGTATTCGAATGGCTGTATCAAATTATACTGCAAACATTAAAACATTTATCGATGAGTCTGAGTGTCAGCCTTCTCATTGAACGTGCTTTTTTATTTTTCAATGTTTATGTTCATGATAGTGCGTTACTTTTTTGTTGTTATTATTAACTATTTTTAAATCTTACATGCCGTTGTGGCTGGATAAAAGTTTGTGTTTATTTTTCAATCACCTTCGTTTGGTAGGTAGGAATGTAGTTATGAACAAGTACGTACTAGTAATATTAGTTATTTTGTTATTAGTTTATTATTAGTACCTATGTATTATGTATTACCAGTTAAATAGTAAAATAAATACATATAATGATAAATTAACTGTGGATTATTTCATTTACGTTGCGTTACGTGGCTTCCGTGTGGGTATGCTCCCTGTTTATTCCAAAATTAACAAAGTAGCTCAACACATTAAGAGGTTGACGACCACTGTATTAGAGAAGAAAGCTAAATGGCTTTCATGTATTAGCTGCCCAAATAAGGTTCATAAAATTTGTATTCCTCTTAAGTTTATGAATAGCCTTGGAAATACGTAGATTCTGAAGAGGACGAACAGTTTGTATAAGAAAAATGTGGTATCACTATTGATACTAGTGATGAACATGAGAGCATCAGTGAGGACGAAGAAGAATATTAATGATTATAAAAGTCATTTATCTCATTTATTTATTTACCAAGATATTATTTTCTTGTTTTAAATTTAAATCGATAATAATTATATTATTTTGTATACGTTTATGTGTTTATTCTTTATTTTATTCTTTTATAGATTCCTAATTATTTTTTGAATCATAAATATCAATTTATCATGTTTTAAACAGAATAGTAATAAAACAAAAAAAGTCCATTAATGGTTCTAAAAGTGTTCAAATTAGGATTTATGAAAAAAACGACTGTTCATTTCTGGAGAAAATGCATGTGTAAAAATTAAATTAATTATTACTGCTATAGAATAGTCAAAAATGTTATATTATGCTTTGGTGGAATCGAGAATAAACTATGGAATCATTGGCTGGGGTGGAGCAACTAATGTTTATCTAGAAAAAATTAAAACTATTCAAAAATTATTTTTAAAAATTATTTTTAAAAATTATTTATAAAAAAAATCGTACTTACCCCTCGGACCAACTATACAAAGAATTAAAAATATTAGATCCTAAAAAACACTTTTTCCTTAAAATTGCCAACTACTACTATAAAAACCCAACTAGCCTTAATATTGTTACTCATGAACACGAAACAAGACGAAAAAACAAAATTAAATATAAAGACTTAGCTTCTCCCAAAACTGTAGGCCAAAAATGCCACTTCTTCTTAGCATCAAAAGTGTTAAATTATTTACCTCCAAAAATTCTAAAATCAAAATCATTATCGCAATTTAAAACAAGAACAAAATAATTTTTATTAGAAGAATATAGAGCAAATATCAGAAATATTATTGATATGAATATCGATAGATAAATGAAAAATAAAAAAATAAAAAAAATTTATTAAAAAAAAAATAAATAAAATAAAAAATAATGAAAATTAAAAAAAAAGCGGCAAATTTCTCTATTATTATTATTATATGTCAGTATTTGTATTATATTAATTAATTGTAAAATAAAACATAAAATAGTACTTAACATATCTCTACACACGCCACGGACAGTTTTTATACTTTGTGGCAATGGGTAGTTTATTTGTATGTACCTAAAAAAAAAAAAAAATATTTATATTATTAAAAAAATGTATTTAAAAAAAAAAAAATTTATTATATTTAAATTTTTTGTACATTTTTCAAATAAACTTCTATTATTATTATTATTATAATACAGGGTGACCCAGAGTAGATTTCCCTTTTCAAACAGTTATAAAAGACAAAGTTGTAAAGTCAGAAACAATTTATTAGCAAAACATAAAAGCGTACAAATGCGGATTTATTTTTTAAAAATAATGTTGTCCATATGACGGCCGTCTTGCTCATAGCACTCTTCCAAACAGCTGCGTAAGTAAGTGTTGGAATACACGTTGACATAAATCAATTGGGATATTATCTTAGATAAAAGAGACCAGAGATGTTACATATACCGGTATTTGTGCTGCGCGAATGTTGCCAATTCCTAAAGAAAGGTTAACGGAGTGGGGGAACTGGGAGGAGATTCGAAGTCTGTGACAGGGGCGGACTTGGTTTATTAAAAACACGATGAACTATTAGATATACTTAAAAGATGTTTAAATGGAATGTTTTATTATGAAATAAAATTAATGTGATTTTATTAATATTAAACAGAAGCAACGATATTTTATTCTAGTCTCTTACGGCAATGTCCGTAGTGACTAAATGCTAACGAAATATTCTATAATAGAAAACAAAAGTTCTTTTATAGAATATTTCGTTATCGTTTAATTTTTCCACAAGATACTACAATAAAATGTCAAAATATAATATCGTTTATGAGCAAAAATGGTACTCATTGTCTACCAGTATTATATTTGCAGCATGTGCAGCAGGAGAATATTGTAAATAGGAAGAGTAAGAAATGAGGATTCCTTGTGAGCTGAACATGTTTTTTTCTAAGGCTAATACATATTAAAAATTGAGTTGCGACAACACTATAGACTGTAGATAAGGGTATATTACATACGTTTAGACGATATCTTTCCTACAGACTTATGTGAAAAAGTGATACAAAAGTAAAGATATATTTTTGGGTGTCGTAATAAGAGAGAAAAGGGTCCAGAAATCAAACTCAAAATGTATTATTATGTTGTTTATTGTATTATTTATATAAAAAAATAAGTAAAACAATAAATAAATAGTAAATACAAAAAAATGAAGCAAGTTATAAAACCAAAGAGAGAAAGAGAAGGAGAGATAGAAATAGAGAGAGAGAGAGAGAGAGATAAAGAGAGAGATAAAGAGAGAAAGAGAGATAGAAAGAGAGATAAAGAGAGAAAGAGAGATAGGGAGATAGATAGAGAGAGAGAGAGATGCAGAGATAGTGAGAGATGCAGAGAGAGTGAGAGAGATGCAGAGAGAGTAAAACGTATGTTCTGTTACTTTTTAAGATTATTTAGAAATACACGAGATTTACCAAATGACAACATAATTTACTATTACTTACCTTCTGTTTGAGGGGGTGTTTTTTCGTGATAATATTCCAAGCTAGTTTGAGAGTTTGAAGTACTAGCCTGTAAGTAAACAATATGTTCTTTCACTCTTTACGATTATTTAGAAATAAACGAGATTTGCCAAATAACATAATTCAATATAGCTTACTTTATATTTCTTTCATTCAGCAGATCGAGGGGGGGTTTTTTGGTGTAATATCCCAAGCTAGGTCTTGATTTTGGAGGCAGTTCTATAAGCTTTCAAATTAATAAATATTAAATTGAAATATTTTGAATAAGCACCTAATTAAAAATAATTCCATGATTAATACATATTTATTAAAAATTACCTGATTGGGTATAGCAATTTTTTTCAAATGTAGAGCAAAGGGAGATTTTTTATAATCAAATGAATCATCACTAAAATTGTAGTGGCATACACGGGAAGTGCTAAAAACATCTTCTTTATTAACATTTATTGCAAGTATCCATTTATCTCTTAAACTTTTTTCTTTTGGAATACTAAAAAATATAGAGTATGTGTTACATACAATTTTAGGAATGCATACTCTGAAACCAAAAATATTTTAAAATTTAAATCTAATAAAAGGCGTCAGTTGCTTGCTTTTATCCGAGTATTTATCTTCAAAATTTAGTGATTCTTATTTTTTGATCTCGATTTTTAAATTTTATAATGTAACACTTTATTAACAATATTTTCGACCTACCCCTCGTAACTATAATATTATTATTTTTAGCTTATATGTCACATTGAAAGTTTTACTTGGTTTTAAGACTAATAGGCACAAAATTAATTTCAGTTTTGACTGAAAATAGGATGAACTTTTAAATTTTTTGTATATTATCCTGTATTTTATTTAATATTCTTATAAAACTACTTTTTTAAAACCAAAATTTCTTTAGCAACTATGCTTGTTTACTTCTTATGTATGTACCAAAAAGGGCTAAAAACTACCTTTATTAAATATTCTTATAAATCTATATTTTTAAAACAAGATTTCGTTAGTAAATATGCTACTTTACTTCTTATTTTACGCACCAAAAAAGACTTACTACCTACCTTCGGTAAAACTCAATTAAATGTTCAAAATTTTGTCCTTTGGTTTATTTATAACTATAAGTAAGTACTATAAAATATGTTTTCTAAAATATTCGATACGAAATATTTGGAGGAATACCTTAATGCGGATCTGACTAATTCAACATAAAGGAGCATGGCGATTATGTCAAAATATTAATAATAAATATTTACCGGTGAAAACGAACATATTTCTTATCTTTTATAACATTGGCACTTTTATTATAGGTATATACAATTTTTCACGATACATCGTGGCATTTTGATCCTAAAACTGAATAGGTAGAACACTTTAAATTGTTAATAACACCAACATACAATTCAAAAAACAGCGGTCAATGTCAATGGTGATTAAACTCAGGGAGGTGAGCGTAGAATAGAAATGACTATTTCGGAGCAATTCGGGTGGCGTCGTAGAAATAATGAATTTTAATTGGTGGGTTACGTGAGGGAGAAACGGACAACATGCGCAGTGTGCAATGTTACATCTCCGGTCTCTTTTATCTAAGGATATTATTGATTTCATCACGAATCCGTTGTTTCAGCTGAGCGATGGTAGCAGGGGGATCAACGTAGACGCGGCCTTATAAGTACCCCACAAAAAGAAATCTAGAGGCGTGAGGTCAGGCGATCGTGGAGGCCATTCAATGTCACCATTTAAGGAGATAAGACGCCCTGGGAATAATTCATTTACAGCATTTACGGACACGTTTGCCGTATGTGCTGTCGCACCATCTTGTTGGAAAAAAGTCGTATCATCATAATCTGGAAAGTTTTGAAGAGCTGCTGCAAAAAAAGTGCGTACCATTCCAAAGTAACGTGCACTGTTCACAGTTAGAGCATGACCGCGACCATCTTCAAAAAAATAGGGACCAATTATCCCATTTTCCGACATCGCACACCACACTGTCACTTTTTTGGTATAAAGCTGTTTTGCATGCATTTCGTGTGGGTTATCAGGGGAGCAATATCTGCAATTTTGTTTGTTGACGTAACCATCTAAGTGAAAATGAGCTTCATCACTAAAGATTATCTTCTCCAAGCCACCGTCATTCCAAAAGAAATTCATCATTATTTCACAGAACCTTTTTCCTCTGGGAAAGTCTGTGGGTTTTAGGTACTGTACAATCTGTATTTTGTACGGATGAAACTGCAAATCCTGCTTTAAAATGCGTTGCACGCTTGAACGACTAATTTGTAATGTCTGTGCCGCCTTACGAGCCGATCTTTTGGGATGTCGAAGCACTGCACGGGATACTGCAGCAATATTGACTGCTGTATGAACCGACTTTGGCTTACCTGGGTGTTTCTGATTTCGGGCTGAAGCAGTGTTTCGAAACTTTGCCACCCATGCTTTTACAACATTTTTCGAGGGTGCATCCGCTACGCGACGAATATTGTACCGAGCACAGAACTGTCGCCTTGCCACTGTGTACGAATCATTGCTCTTGAAATACGCTTCGATTACAAAAGCACGTTGTTTGCCTGATCACTGCTCCATGACTACTAACAAATCCGCACGTCTTGTCTACTTGATGTCATACCACAGCTTATACAATACAGCTCCACAACTCCGTGTCGGCGTCTTTGATCTGGCGGTCGAGAACCAAGCAAGACGGAATGGAGCTATCTCTGTTAGATTCGAGGGAAAAGTCGGGCCCGGATTAAACAATTTTTTTATTATTGAAAAAATTGAAAACCTTGGCATAATAAGGTTGGTTACATGCCATATTAAGTAAGTTTTGGGAAATTAAATTTTTAATTTGTTTTAAATCTGTCAAATATAATTAGAAACATTATTTAAATATAAATATTACGAAAAATAGCACATCTTTCGGATTAGAGGTAAAATAATTTGTATGTGGCTAGTAAAATCCTCGTTAACAAATGTTTTGAGCTAAAACAGTCACTTCACGACAAATTGTGGCTTGGATCCTTTTTACACCAAGGGCTTCAATTGTTAAAGAATTGTGTCACGCTCGTGGGTGCAAATCAAGTGATACCCCGTGTCTCTGGCAAGTGTTACTCTTCGCGCAAAGGGTTTATACCTAGATAAACGAATGCTTCGACTGAGGTCTGGGAACTCTATGGTATTTTGGAATTATAAAGAATTTGTGCTTTTATTTTAACAATATTGGTTATATTTAGATGTATTCTTATTAATTGAAATACAAATTTGTAGAAGTAATACTTTGACAGTTTTTATTAATATAATATATTCAATTTTTATCTGACCATACCGAAGTAGGGAATTTTGAAACTTTATAGTAATGTGAAATTTGAATTACAATATTACACGATATTACATAATTAGTACTTATTTTAGGTAGGTACTAAATTTGTACTTGGAGAAAGTAATATCGATTTTTACAAGAAAACTTGAAAAGTAAATTAATTTAGTTCCTATTTCTGATGTAAAACTTAAGTTTTGGTTTAAACCAAGAAAACAAATAAATTATAGTTTGTTCAACAAGGGTGGATATGATAGCAATATCACACAAAGACGAAGTTTGAGCACGACGTCGTAGGCAGAGTACTCAATCGTCTGATTGTGATATGAACAATCCACTCGATATGGTCAGTATATTTTTTCTACGACCCACTAACGCAAATCTACAAATTTAAAAAATTATTTTAGGTTATTTAGACAAAATAACTAATTTTAAAATAATTTACGAAGTTGACTAATTTATAAAATAAAATAAACATGAAAAATTAATTAGTCCTCGGCCTAGATTCGATCCCGGGCTTTTCGCGTGGAAGGCAGATGCTCTGTCTTCATCTTCACCGAAACTTTCAGGACTTTAGTTTTAATACTCGTAATTAAATTAGTATTATGTAGTTTGATTAAAATTTATTTTGTTTTAAATGTGGACACAATAAAAACAAAAATGCTATTATTAATCGAGTCTACACAAAAATTTTAATGTATATTTAATATCAATAACTAAAATATATATTGACAATTAGTTTAACAGAATTGTCACTTATTTAAAAAATTTTAAATAATAGGAGTTGGGTGACCAAAATATGAACTGTGATTTGTAGATTTAATTTTGTTAAAGTGTTCTCACTACCTAAAATGGATATGAAATATATTCGTAGTTGAACGCAATAACATACTTTTTCGTTTTGTAGTATGTGCGTAGATTGGCTAATATCCATGCACAGATTACAAAACGAAAAAGTATGTTATTGCCTTCAATTGAACGAATATATTTCATATCCATTCTAGGTAGTGAGAACACTGCAAAAAAAAAATAAATTCGCCAATCACCGTTCATATTTTAATCAACCGACTGCTATTATTTTTAAAATTTTAAATAAATGGCAATTCTGTCAAACTAATTGTCAGTATATTTTTTAGTTATTGAGATTAAACGTACAATAAAATAAGTTATTCTTTTGGAAAACGTTAGCATGGATGACTAAAGGGTATTGGGTTAATTAATTCTAAAAGTGTGGTACAATTGTTATTTTTTGTAGCCAATTCTTCAAAATTATTTTGAAATATCTTTTCAATATTGAATATTAGTTCTACAAATTCATCATTTGACAGTTACAGATTTCCAAATGTATCTGGATTGGCGTTATCATATGCCTTTAAAAAGCAATAAAAAGAAAAATCATCTAATTCGACGTGATTTTTGTTATATTTAAGACAGGTATCGCAGAGGAGTGGATCCGCAAGGCTTTTATTAAAAGGTAACCACACACATACCTGATAAAATTTTTCTGTATCAATTCGTCTTTACAATAATTTAGGGTGTTAATAATTTTATCATAAAATAAAATACAAGGTGTTCCATTTAAAAAACGCACATTTTAATTTGCCAG